AAGAGTTGCAAAGCTCCTCTCCAACCGGTTGCTTAGAGCCACTCTTGGCAGGAAGGCATGGGGCTGTATGTGCCTTTGGTGTGATGTGTTGTAGCTGATGTGTTGCGTTACCCTGTGGGATGTGGCATGAGTGGGCATGGTGACTCACCTGCGAGCCTCCTCTAGTTTTTTTCGGTTCCTGCAGCTCTGATTCTCTTATGGGCTCTTCCAGGCTTTCAACGTGATCAATGGAGGTTCCCACGCAGGCAACAAACTGGCCATGCAGGAGTTCATGATCCTGCCTGTGGGAGCTGAAAGCTTCCGCGATGCCATGCGCATTGGGGCTGAAGTCTATCACAACCTCAAGAGTGTCATCAAGGAGAAGTATGGCAAAGATGCTACCAATGTGGGTGATGAGGGAGGCTTTGCACCAAACATCCTGGAAAATAGTGAAGGTGAGACCCCTGCAGAGATGGGGTACCCCTGCCTGCAATGCTGTGACTTCCTACACTCAGCTCACAGCATTCCCCAAAGACTGGTTCAAAATATGATGCCTCAGTGTCATTGACCTCCTGTGTTAGGGAATGGTTTCTAAGCTCCTTCTCCTTGGGGTGGCCTTGATCTGTCACAGCTTCTCCATACAAACCTTTCACGTGTGCACAGACTAAGGCTTTCCCCCGATTTGTCACTGAGCTGTGGATTGTATTTTAATTCCTCCTCCTCCTTTTGGATATGGCCTTCCAGAGCTCCTTGGCATGTTTCTGTTGCGCTCTGGGCTCACTTCTACCTCTCCCATCATACTGTCAGACTCTCAGTGGCTCTCAGGACCCTCCCAGGGGAGGTTCCTATGGAAAGTCAGAGCTCTCTGCACAGGCTGACTCTCATGACTGCAACTCTCCTCCTCCCAGCTCTGGAGCTCCTCAAGGAAGCTATTGACAAGGCAGGCTACACGGACAAGATTGTCATTGGTATGGACGTGGCAGCCTCTGAGTTCTACCGTGATGGCAAATATGACCTGGACTTCAAGTCCCCAGATGACCCAAGCCGCTACATTTCTGCAGATGAGCTGGGTGACCTCTACCAAAGCTTTGTACGTGATTATCCAGGTGAGCTGCTGTGCTTGGCAGTAGGGAATCAGCACTGGTGTTGCATACTTAACAGGCGCATCCCCCTCTGTGTTTGTGGGAAGGGAGGCAGCTTTGACTCGTGTCTCCTCTGTTGTTCCTTCAGTGGTCTCCATCGAGGATCCCTTTGACCAAGATGACTGGGAGGCCTGGTCCAAGTTCACAGCCAATGTGGGGATTCAGATAGTGGGAGACGACCTGACAGTGACAAACCCCAAGCGCATCGAACGAGCTGTTGAAGAGAAGGCCTGCAACTGCCTCTTGCTCAAAGTTAACCAGATTGGATCCGTCACGGAGGCCATCCAAGCGTAAGTCCAGCCCACTGCCCTTGTCCTGCGAAAGGGTTGGTGATGAACCACAGCAGGGTGTCACACTATCCATTGGATGAATAGACTTTTGTCTCTACCAGAGCGTAGGATTCTGAGGGTGGGAGGAGAGAGTGCCTGGATCTCACCCTGTGTGCGTGGTGGTTATAAGAGTGGGAGCTACTGACTGCATTTCTTGCTCCTTGCAGCTGCAAGTTGGCCCAGGAGAATGGCTGGGGTGTGATGGTGAGTCACCGATCTGGGGAGACCGAAGACACCTTCATTGCTGATCTGGTTGTAGGACTGTGCACGGGGCAGGTAGGTGAGACATAGGCCATGCACAGGCCTGGAGGAAAGTGAAGGGGTGTGAAGACAGAATCCCTTGCCCTGCCATGGGAAACTGGTGTACGTCATAACAGTGTCTTATAGTGTTTGTTTTGGGGAATGCTTTACAGATAAAGACGGGTGCTCCCTGCAGGTCTGAACGCCTGGCTAAATACAACCAGCTCATGAGGTAAGGGGCTCCAGGGACGGGAACGCAGAAGAGAGAACGGGGGAGTGACTAATTGGGGTGGGAGAAGCTGAAAGCCCAAGGGTAGATGGGGCTTGGGGGGGAAATGTTATGAAGACAAGGTGCAGAGATGACAGTAGGATCCCGGGGAGATCTCTGGAGCCGATCTCTTCCCTCCTCCTTGGAGTGAGGGTGCAGCCCCACCGGCGCAACAGCTGGCGGGAGCTGAGCTCCTGTGGCCCATGTCCGCTTCCTGGCCAATGCGCTGCCACTCCAGCGCCCTGGTGCCTCCGATGCTCCCTCACAGCAGGGGCCTGATGTGTGCTGTCTCTCTCTCTCTCCTGCAGGATTGAGGAAGAGCTTGGCGACGAAGCACGCTTTGCCGGACACAACTTTCGCAACCCAAGTGTTCTTTGAACATTGTCCCCAGGGCACAGCCACCCTGCTGCTCTTTCCCACCTCACAGACTCTGAATCCCTCTTCTCTCCATTGCTCCCTTTTTTGCTCTTTTTCCCTGCCACCTGGTTCCCTCTCCCCTCAAAACCCCTCAAGTTCAGGTGTCCCCGGCTAGATGTACCCAGGTGAAGGATGAGAGAGAGGCCTACACCCTGTCCCTTGCTTTGGGGTCATAAGCATTTCTGGATCTAGGCATTGTGTGTCTTCTGTTTTTTGTGCAGGGCCGTGTCTGAGCCACTCTGTTCACATGTTAAGACTATGGGAGCATGCTGCCTGGTGTGTTTCCCTTGTACGCCGAAGCATGTGCAGTGAACATATGTGCGTCGACTGGTGTGTTTGGACAAGTGTCACACCTGTAGCTGTGTTTGGACGAGTGTCGCCAGTGGCTCGCTCTTGTTGTGCATGTGTGTAGGTGTATGTGTAGTGGCCTACGGCGTCCTTGTGCCCCAGGCGTGTGTTTGCGCTGAGCCCTGGTGGGTCCCACGAGTCCCCTCCTTCCACCCCAAGCGCCGTGCTGTGTTGGGCTGTGCTTGCCAGCAGCTTAGCGTTGAAGTGCACTGCTGTTCCCCACTGGGTGTGCGTGTGTGTGTGTGCTGTCGGTCTCTGGGTCAGCACATAGTACTGTGGGGTGATATATTAAAACACATCCGTAAACAAATCCATGCTCTCGTTTGCTTCTCGTGACATTTTTCTCTCTGTTTCCTTCCCTCTTGCACTCCTTCACCCTCTCCTCCACCCATAATGTCTGCTTCACCTTCTGGACAGCCCACGCTCAGCTGAGCAACAGACAAACTACAGATCCCTAAACTCAATTAAAATGTATTTCACACCTGAGTTGCCTGGCTTGGCCTGATGTTTCTCTCTACACGCCAGCGTCTGGGAAGTGGGGACATTTTGCCATCAAAGCAGGAGAGGCTCACGCAGAAAGGTCACCAAAACAAGCAGAGGGGACTGGCAAGAGAAAGAAAAGGCCCGGGTACCCCCACCTCCTTCCACAGCCTTGTCTCACAGCCAGGCTACTCTTCTGGCCACCCCACTGGGGAACGCCAAGGGGAAGGCAGGTGGGAGGGTGGGAATCACCCCCACCATCTCCACCAGACGTCGTCACATGAAGATCTGCCGTGCAGGGAGTTTAATCGTGCCCTCCACTGATGTACAGACCACAGGACTGGCCACAGGCCAGCTGCCCACTTGACATCAAGTGACGGTACACTGGAACTGCAAGTCTTTGGGAGAGAAAAAGCTGATCCCACCCGCTGCCCAAAAGGGGCTTGCAGAGCAGTGAATGGAGGGGTAAGTGGGATGTGAGGCGCTCTCAGCTCCGTCTCGTTTCACAGGGGGAACGCAGCAGTACTTGGTGAAAGTATTCCAGCTCCAGCTGGTGCCCCAGCAGGCTGAGTGCCAGCAAATCCCAGCGCTGGCTCAACAGCGTTATTCTGGACAGGCTCCAATCAAGGTGGGAGGCTGGGGGGTGCTACTGTGAGAAATCCAACCCAAGCTATGACAGCGAAGAAATGATACAAACACGCTGCCCACCGTTACCAGTTCGTGTCAGGAGCCCCTCTATGTACTCGGGCACACTCAGGTCCTGCAAACCTGTTGCCTCCCTTCACTGCAGAAAGTTTTCCAGCCCTCGCTAAAGCCACACCACCTTGTCTTTCATGATGAGCAAGGACAAGGGTAAAGACTGAGGTTGCTCAGCAAGTCCCAAGCCCCCTCAACTGTGTCCTGATGTGGACTTTAAAATCAAAAGACAACACTTTAAAACATTGGTATTTCACTGCTGAGTCTTTACTAAATAGCATAGAAAAGGGGTTAAGTTCCAGAAGGGAAGACAAAGGCCATGGCACACATGCCCAGAAGAGAAAAGCGGGTGGGAAGGAGAATGTAAGGGTAGAGACTGGATTGGTTTCCAGGGGATCACTCGTGAATACAGAACAAATCTCGCTGGTAATGAATAGCTTGTGTCCTAGCTGCAGGCCATTTCTCGCCCGTGGTCTCTGTGAAGTCTCCCCCTCAGCCTCTCGGAGCAGCAGCGTAGCTGCGGAGTGAAACTCACCCCAAACTCGAAGGCTGCACCTGAAAGCCAGCGTGTCCAGCTCCACACCTCACGCCCACGGGTGAACAGACCCACGCAAACCCCGAAGATGCTGGGAGGCACACGGAGGCCGCTGCTGGCCCTGCCCTGCGGGCACCGGGGATGGGCAACAAAGGAGGGAACTCCGGCGGCCGGGCGGCGGGGCTGCTTGCGGGG